TAAAAGGTTTTCAAATTGATATTACTATTGATGATGGTAGTGATAATTATCGAAATGTGATAAATGACTATTTGAGTGAATCGGTAGCCTAAAGATAGTGGTGGCGATCAACATTGCCTACAACTGGTAGCTGTGAGGGTGATAGTGTTGATGATCGTGATACAACAGATGATAGCTATGAGGTTAATAGTGCTGATGATCGTGATACTACAGATGGTGAAAATCACTATAGTAATGACTAAACACCCATAGAGAGGTAACGATGATAAGGATGTGAACTAATTTTCCATCATGTTGATGACGATCGCCTTGCCTCATCGTCCACATCGCCCGACATACTCTAATTTCATGGCGCACCCTGAATCTTTGATATCTCATGACCAATTGGACCATTTGATCTGAAATTTGAACCACCTCAGCTCCTCGATATAATCCACCGGTGCTCCAATTTTCAGGTCAGGGCGCGCGCCCAATCGCGCGCAATCGTCGAGCGCGCGTGCGCGCGCTATTTTCCTTGATGCGTGCAGTTTTCCAGCGCGCACTGTATGATGAGGATAATGATATTGCTAATAACATGCACCTGTGATGATGCACTGGTGATGATAATAATAGGGATGAAACAGCGCCCCTAAAATAGCAAAAGGTTGATGAGGGCAACACTGATGATGATGATATTGCTAATAACGTGCACCTGCAATAGTGATGATGGTAAAAACCACAGCCCCAACATGACGGTGCTGTCACGTACCTTGTTTCTAATACCAGCGACAAGATGTTGCTAACAAGCTGCACGCGGGTCCTGTTACCGCCTTGATGATGATGAAAAGCAGCACCCTGATGGCGGTGACGAACAACCCTGATGATGATAACAAAACCTTTACCTTGGTGACGAGCCTCCCTGATATCGATGGACGAGGACACTGATGATGACAGGTAGCTACTCCACTCACACTTTGGGTCATGCAAGGCTCACTCCGCTGAACTCGACAGGCATCCCCAGAGACGACACCTCACAGGCTCTATGCCACAGGCAAAAATGCAGCAACAATGCAGTATGAACGCGAAACTCCCAGAAAGGCCTCCGGGAGTCAATCTATTCTCCCTATCAACCTGTGATACGGTATAGACAAGCACCTTCACTCCCCGCGCGTGCGCAAAACGCCTAGTAAGCAGCTACCATAAGCTCGACACCCATCCCAGCAAATCCTCCGTTACCCCACCAACTCTTCTGTCTTGCCATCGCCATGCACCACTTCGTCCGTTTGAGCGCGCCAGAGCGAAGCCGGTTTGAGCCAGGCACGCTCCCGCTTCACTGCCTCACTCCGCCGCCATGGTTGGTGCCGGCGCGCAGCACTCCCGGTAGCGCTACGCCCCCCAGAGCAGGAATCTCTCCTCCCTCCCTCCCCAGGAGCCCTCAGAGCCCTGAGGCTCTCTGGTTGTAATATTGGTGCTCTCCATACTTTCTGAAAGGGACACTGGACCCGTTTTCCCACCACTACCTTTCTCAATATTAAAAAAAATAAAAATTTAGCATACTCTGAAATTTTACGAGGTCCCAAGGAGGCTCGGAAAAAAAAAATCCGGGTCGGATTAAAATAAAATAAAATAAAATAAATAAATCAAGAGACTGATGTCGAGGAAGGTGGTGAACGAGGGCATCCTCACATGAGTACTATCCAAAACGTTTGTAACCACTATGATGAGTAGTTGTAAATGTAGTTAAGTATTATTTTTTTTCTCAATTTTTTTATTTTAACGTTTATGGTTTCCTACACGAAAGGCAAACTGATTATCGCAGAGTTCTGAAACTAATGGACGAATGACATATTCACACTACTACTTATCATAACGATCCACTTTTCATCCTATCCAAAGTTGAGTACCAACTTGTTTTTCTTCTGATTTCATTAATTTGACAACGCGACTATAATGCCCTCGCTGAGGGTATATACTCACAAGTACTTCAAACATTATATCCAATTGTTGTCCCGTATAAATTTTTTTTCTTTTTTTTAATACAATTGTCGTAACAAAAATGAGTTTCGTAAGAGTAAAAAAAAAGGAAGGAATGAAATCCAAACTTTGCAAAACTCGATGCGCAGTGAAATTATAGGTTCGGTAAAAATAAGATCGGAGGTACTGGTTGTTTAATTGATGATACCATATATTTTTTTTAATAATGCATCTGGATAAGAGCGCCATGCAAATTTAGAGAAAGTAAGAAAAAATGTACTCCGTACGAAATTGATAAAAGTATTCCTTAAAAAACGAAGCTTAAGGAATTACAAATCGATAAGTTTTTAAAGCATCATATTGAATACAATTTACCATAATTTTAGCGAGTTCCACGATTAAAAAAAATATAAATCACACCACCAAGCTAATTACAAAACTTAAATAATTACTACTGTAATAGTGAAATAGGATTAAAGTTCATATTCTATAACTAACAAAATTATGAAGCACAGCAGGATATAATAGTTGAAATATTAACCGATCTCTAAATAAATTTAATTTATAATAAAAAAATAAATATAAAAAAATTAACATTTTGAGCTTCTAAAGAATCTAAACTAGAATTGGTTTCGAGTTATCCATACGAACCATATACTAGTTAGTTGAATATAAAAGTAGCAAGTTAGTTGAATATAAAAGTAGCACCATTTCCAAACTACCCCAAATGATGAAAGTAAAAGCAAAACTAAAAAAAAAAGACCAATTAAAAAACCAATCAAAGCGTCTGAGCTAACTATCACCTTAAAAAAAAAAAACGTCCTCGCACAAATTAGTTGAGACTATTGAAAGGGTGTAATGCAAAATATCGTTAGGAATCCATAGAGAATTCCCAAGCACATCATAAGTTGAGCCAAATATACGACAATCATCATTCAAAATGATTTAAAAGAATTTTTTTTTATCAAATTAAAAAATCTTTACTTTGACTTTCTTTGGGGTACGCCTTAAGTTGAATCGAATATACGACAATCATCATTCAAAATTATTATTATTATTATTTTTTTCAAATTAAGAAATTTTTACTTTGACTTTTTTTTCGGGTACGCCTTTTATTCGTTCTTGCAACTCCCTTTTCTCACGTACAATGCTGGCCACGTTATTGTGGTTTAGAACCTGCCTACATCCCTGTATGCCTTAACAACACACTTGCATGTTATGATAGTAGACAAAGTAAAAGGGAAGGGGTGTGGGTGTGTGTGTGTGTGTGTGTGTGTGTGTGTGTGTGTTGCATACTGTAACGGTCCAGACCAGAACAAGAACCGACCTCTCAATACAAAGTATAAGATAGCACAGCGGAAGACTTAGATACCAATGATCCGAACAATCAATATTGCAATGCAACCGCAAACATACATCATCATCATCATTCCATGGTGTGAAGGGGTCTGGCGCTTCACACAAGAAGACTGCGCCAACCCCAACCATAGAGAGACGAAGGAGATGGGGGTTAGACGAAGAAGAGGGGAAGATGGGAATGTCGTCAACACCAAGTGTTCAGCACAGGCCCAAATAGTCCCTCGTCGAAATGTTTGAATCCCAAATGTAGAGTCTGGATCCAATGTCGTCAAGTCTCAAGTCACAACTCTCTCTCTCTCTGTAGTAGTCCGCTGATACTGAGAAGTCAGGTGGTGAGAGGGGAAGAAGAGATGGTCGACATAGAGGAGGAAGAAGAAGAACTCTCTCTCTCTCTCTCTCTCTCTCTCTCTCTCTCTCTCT